ATAAGGAAGTCACTGCTGAAACTATATAAGTGTAGACTGTTGTCTAACTACAAAAAGGGAGATGAGAATTTAGGTCATGACAGCAAGAGTACAATAAATGAAAACCTTCAATAAATATACCAGTGGCCTCAATGCAAAAATGCTTTCTGAGAAATATGTAAATAATAATGCCTACTTATTCTTGTGTGTGTGTGTGTGTGTGTGTGTGTGTGTGTGTGTGTGTGCATGTGTTTGTGTTTGTGTTTTGTGTCTACCTGTGGGCGTCTAAGGCCTTTGTAAATTATAGTGACTAATCAATTCAGGGATCCATGGCCGTGGTATCTAGTCCATTATCTGGTATGCCATTTACAATGGTTCTAACATATTATTTCCGTGTCACCATTTATGGCTCTTTAATTTTCTTGAAGAAAAAAATATAAATAATCTATAAAGAAAGACATTATAGAAAACTAATAATATTTTTAGTGACTTAATCCCACAAAGCTCAAATACAAGTAATGATAATATATATGGAGACAACTTATATATTAAAGAGTCTTGTGAGATAAAATTGTCATGTTCTAATCAAATGAATTATTACAAATTTCTAGTAAAAACTTACTGAAATGACTAGGACAATTGCTGCACATACTATCATGGATAAGCACATTGATTTCTATTTGAAAACCAACTTTCTACCTGTAAAATTTATATGGATTTACTGTAACTGACCCTGCATTATAGGCTCTTGCTTCAGTTAAATATTTCCTACATACCCTGGCTACTCTTAATAGTACTTTTTGCTGCACTGAATAGTTGCAAAATTTAGTTTATAAACTTGGCCAGAATAATAAACCCAATTTATGTCTTTTATAAATCTTTCATTGTAATGTTAATATATTTCTTCTTGGATAATATTGACCTGCTGGTGGAATATTCAGGAAAACAAACAAGAAGTCACACATCAAACAGCACATAATGATAACGTGGACAGAAGGACACCAGGCACATCTTTTATCTCTGACTTCACAAAAATAAAAACCAGTAAATATTCATTTTTGTTAAACAGTCTCAGGTAAGTCACTAATTATCCACCCTAATTACCATTAGTAATTGATAGTAGTAATAAATATTAAATGAATAGTAAGAGAACATTCAATATTTTACATTTGGCTTCAAGGCAAATAAACAAACTAATATTTTATTAGGTTCTAAAAGAGTATGAAAAATTAAAATATAAATGTCCTGTTTAAGCAGAACTTCTGATAAATAGATAGTTTGAGATCCTACTTAGTAAATTCCAAACAAATTAGAGAAATATGAAAAGATTTGAAAATAAATTAACAATTTATTTGTACATTTCTTTATTTTCTACTCAATGTCATATATATTTTTCCTATCTGCTTTCTGGGAGAAAATTCTTCTTTGACAATAATTTAATATCAGCAAAATGATAACTAGTCAAATGATGAAAGTAAGTGACAATGACTAGAACATGAGGTTCCACCTCTCCTGGAATATATATGAGCAGGTATTGAATCCTGGAGAAAGATGTTTCATCTTCTTCAATGATGTAAACACAGATAACTAGTTCATTCTTCAATAAATATCCCCCTATAATGCTTAAGTAAAAAAAACTAATTAGACTTAGTGGATCAAACATTAAAAAATAGAAAGAATGAAAACATGAAAAGAGTAGACAGTGATTTTGAAAGAATTTTAGCAGAAAATGGAGAGAATGAAAGAGGAGACTAAGGAGTGAATGTGGCTAAATTCATTATATACACAAATGCAATGTTTAAATAACAAAAATGTAAAATATAATAAAAAATGATGAGTGAAATATCTACAGATATTACTGGCATTGGTAAGAGCTTTTGTTGAGATAACAGCCATAAAGATTTTTTCATGTTTTTATTGTTTCAATACTTGTAATTAAGCATAATATGTTTCCACTTTACTTCTTGCCAACCTTCCTTTTCCTTTTATTTTAAAACAGGTTATCACTAAGCTGCCTACCTTTATCTTGAATTAGTGGTCCTATTGCCCCATTCTCCAAAGTAGCTGGGAACTACCAGGCTTAGCAACAAAATAAATAGTAAAAGAGAACTATTTTCATTATTTTCTATAATTCTTACTTTAGTAATAATAAACCTTTTATGTATCATTAGCTGTATTATGCCTATTACCAAGGAAATTCTCAAACAAAAAAAAATGTCTCAAATACATGAAATGAAATGCAGTTCTATATTCTAATATATAAAAACTTATTATAAAAAAATTAATTCAAGGAAAACTGTCAACTAAGAAATTCTGAAGTAACTCTTTCCGTGCTCATAAAGAATGCCTATTTTGTCAATGAAATCAAGTTAAAAGTGAATATTTAAGACTTAAGCCAGATAATAAGTTTATTCTTATGATTAAATGTGCTTATGTTTTTTATACATTATTTCTTTTTTCATAGATACAATGGTCTTATCTCAAAGCATCTTCTCTGAACATGAAAAATTTAGAATTTGTATTGTTTTTTCTTTGTTGATAAAGAAGTAAGCACTGAGGAAACGGATAATGCACTGTTGGGAAATCACATCACAATGGAAAAATTAAGATTAGTCATCTGAAAATATCAAACCACTTAATATAAAATAATTCAATGCAGATCATTTTAGAAGAAGAATATAGAATTGTTGTAGATTTCATTTTTTGTGACCAAAAATGACCTCAAGATATCTGACAGAGCAATAGTGACAAACAAAACAAAAAAACAAAAAATACAAAATCCTCATGCTACTGGTACGGAGACAGACAGGTAGATGGATGGAATAGAATTGAAGACCCAGAAATGAACATCGGTGGATGGTCACTTGATCTTTGAAAAAGAAGCCAAAACCATACAGTGGAAGAAAGGAAGTATCTTTAATACATTGTGCTGGTCTAATTGGCAGTCTGCATGGAGAAGAATGCAAATTGACCCACTTTTTTTCTCCTTGTATAAAGTTAACTCAAAATGGATCATGGACCTCCACGCAAAACCAGGTATGCTGAATCTAATAGAAGAGAAAGTGGGAAATAGCCTCAAACACATTGGCACAGGAGAAAATTTCCTGAACAGAACACTGATGGCTCATGGTCTAAGCCATTTGACAACAATTGACTAATGGGAATTCATGAAGCTGAAAATCTTCTGTAAGGCAAAAACACTATAAATAGTAAATGTACAGATTAGGAAAAAAAAATCTTTACCAACCCAATATCTGATAGAGGGCTAATATTTAAAATACAAAAAGAACTCAAGAAAGTAGACCCCAGAAACCCAAATAACCAAATTTAAAAATTGGTAAACAAAACTAAACAAAAAATTCACAACTGAGATACCAAATGGCTGAGAAGCACCTAAAGAAATGTCCAAAAATCCCTAATCATCAAGGAAATGCAAATCAAAACAACCCTAAGATTTCACCTTACACCAATCAGAATGGCTAAGATAAAAACTCAAGTGACAGCAGATTCTGGTGAGGATGTGGAGAGAGAGAAATACTCCTCCATTGCTGGTGGGATTTCAAGCTGTTACAACCACTTTGGAAATCAATCTGGTGGTTCCTCAGACAGTTAAAAATCATTCTACCTGAGGACCTTGCTATACCACTCAAAGGTATATACACAAAAGATGCTCCACCATACCACAGGAACAGCTGTTCTATGTTCACAGAAGTCTTATTTATAATAGCCAGAATGTAGAAAAAACCCAGATGTCCCTCAACAGAAGTACAGATACAGAAAATGTGGTTCATTTACACAATAGAATACTACTCACCTATTAAAACCAGGACTTCACGAATTTTGCAGGCAAATGGATGGGACTAGAAACTATCATCTTGAGAGAGGTATCTCAGACCCAAATGGATATACATAATATGTACTCACTGATAACTGGATATTAGCCCTAAAGCTCAGAATACCCATGATGCAACTCATAGGCCGTATGAAGCTTAACAAGAGGGAAGGCCAAAGTGTGAATGCTTCAATCCCTCTTAGAAGGGGAAACAAAGTAATCATGGGAGGGGAAGGGAGGGGGAAAGACAAAAGGGGGGACTGATCATGTATAAGAAGAGACAGAAGGGAATTCCAGGGGGCCAGAAGAATTAATGGAAATATGTAGCAGTGAGGGATGGGGATGGGGAGGACAGGAACTACTAGAAAGTCCCAGATGCCATGGATGAGAGAGGCTCCCAGGAACCAATGGGGATAACATTAGCTGAAATGCAAACAGTGGAAAGATTGAGTAGTTAGACATGGCCCAGAGTTGAATGATATAGCCACCCACCCATCTCAAAATGTTTAACCCAGAATTGTTCCTGTTTAAAGGAAATATAGGGACAAAAGAGGAGCAGAGACTGAAGGAAAGTCCCTCCAGAAACCGACCCACTTTGGGATCCATTCCATGTACAGAAACCAAGCCCCAGCACTATTGCTGATGCTAAGATATATTTGTAGACAGGACCTTGTTATGGCTGTTCCCAGAGAGGTCCTTCCAGACCCTGACTAAAACAGATGCAGATACAGACAATCATTGGACTGAGCCTAGGGATCTCAATGGAAGAGTTAGAGGAAGGACAGAAGAAGTTAAAGGGGACTGCAACCCCATAGTAAGAACAATATCAACTAACCTGACCACCCAGAGCTTCCAGAAACTAAATCACAAACCAAAAAGTATACATGGAGGGATCCATAGCTCCAGATATATATGTAGCTGGCATCAGTGGGAGGGGAGAGGCTTGGTCCTGGGGAGACTTGGTGCCCCAGAGACGACGGATGCTAGAGAGTTAAGGTGGGAGTGGGTAGGTGGGTGGTGAAGCAAAATATTAGAGGCAAAAAGGAGGGAGAAGAGGTAGTGGCTTTGTGGATGTAAGAACAGGAAGGGGTACAACAATTGAAAAAAAAGAGAAAATATACTTTTAATAAAATGACTGGAAATATATAACAATCAACCAAACTGATAGAAATATTGAAAAGATACTCACATGATCGATTAGTTCACGAACCATTCCATTCCATTGTCCGTTTACATCATCCTGGGCTCCATATTTCCCATCCTCCACAAGCCTAATTTCATATGTAAAGCCAAGGATTGTAGATAACTCTCGTAGGAGATCAATACAGTAGCCTTCAAATCGATCATTCCCATAGAGAGGTTTGTCAGACTTCTTAAACAAGACATATGGTTCTTCCTGAAACATTAAACACAAAACAGTGATACACCAGTCAACCAGGACACAGTATGAAAACAATGAATTTTCTTGGAAGACAGAAAATATTTCATGAATTTAGGACAACAATCAATTTAATTTTCTTCTGATTGTTTTTAACACAATTTAAATACTAAGAATGGAGATATTGATATTTTTTAAAGAATATTTGTTCCCTACAAAAGAATATTTAACTATAAATCCCCACTATGTAAATACAGTACATAATACTACAATTTGTAATGTAAAATATTATTAATATATAATTTTACCATCATTAAAATAACCATATTTGAATTATACCACTTATTCAATAGCTGGTGTGCTGTTTCAATCAGATCTATGAATGAGAAAGAATGCTCAATTTTTGCTTCCTATGCACAATTATAACTCATATCAACCTTTGTCATAAAACCATGAAGTTGCAAGTGGTACAATAAATCATAGAAAGACAGTCTAATGATCAATAGTTCCACACGTATTCAGCCTATTCCTACTGTGAGTAATACCTATTTCTACATGATAGAGAAATCATTTAGCCAATGCACTTATGCCATAGCAGATATTAAATACATAGTACACATAATTTCAGATGAAGATTAGTGAAAAAGAGCCATAAGATAGGTCAGTAGCATAGAGAATTACTGTGCAAGGCAAGAGAACACAAAGGAATATTGACTTTTATCTCTTGAAGCCTTTACTAAGGAGGTACATCCCAAATTTGGAAAAGAAGGCATGATATTCAAAACATTGAAAGTAAGTTTTAGAGCATAAGAAATAGTAGACTTGGAGATCAATAAGACATAGAAGAATTCATGGAAAGAATAATGGTTTTCATGTGTTTAACATGGCATTCCGTGCAGAAAGGGAGAATTGTTGCACAGGCTGAGAATGAAAAACATGAGGAGTCTAGCCCTGTGAGTCTCTAATGCAGCAGTCAGTATTAACATATATATATGTTATATATGTATATATGTATATATGTATGTATATATATATATATATATATATATATATATATATACACACACACACACACACACACATATGCTTAGGTACAAAGAGAGTCTATAGTCAGTCCACACTGAATGTGTCCAATCTTGCTAAGTGCAAATAGAAATCTGACTCTAGCATATTTTGAGAACCAGATAGTATTAACACATGCCATGTTATTTCTGTGGCTGCCTCTTCTCGTCTAACTCATATCAACCATTAATGATGATAAGATGTCCAAGTTTTGCCTTTATCAAAACTTTATGTAAATGTAAAAATGCAGTATATAATCTTCTCAAATTAGTTTTCCATCATTTGTAGTGTGGATTTAGGATTCTCCCATGTCCTTTTTACGCTGATAGCTCATTTCCCATTAGGATTGAATAATATTGGATTGTTTATATGTACCTCAGTTATTTGTCTATTTAATTAAAATTCTGAGAAATGTCTAAAAGCTGATATATATATATATATATATATATATATATATATATATATATATAATTTATTCCTTACAGGTAAATAGATTACTGCAAGTATGGCATGTATCCTTTCATCAAAAAATAGTTCCCTTTCTTCCTGGCTTTCCAGCTCAACATATTAGAGAACACTGTTCTGAAAAACCCATTCTATGTATGTTTCTTTCATGCTTAAGAATGGAAGGCAGCCATAGGCTAACTCCACCTTTTCCATTCTGTATTTCTGTTATAGATGTATCTAATTATATCATCTGTTAATCCACCCACTAACTTTAAATAGTTTTGAACATATGCTATATTGGGTAGTGGTGAATATATATTTAATCTATACAAACAACTAATAATACATACTACATATTGAAAATTCACTATAGCAGAACAGTCAACTTTGCATCAAACGTAAATACTGCATGACAGATAAGAGGTTTATAGTAAAATGACTTCTGCAGTGAACTGAGGCAATCAAAGCCCTAGTCAACAAGCAAAGCCATGGTTTCTGAACTAGAGGAAAACAAATATTAGAAACTTCTGAAATATATAACTGTTTCTATTCTGTTACAGTGTGGTAGCAACAAAGCCATAGTTCCTGAAGCCATTTAAGGATAGCTGAATATTTAGAGGGGAAAAATCACAATGCCCTGTAGACGAGAGGATAGACTGAAAATTCTGAGTAGTTGGAATGATACTCAAATGAATCATGTAAGTACAGTAAATTGATTCTACAGAATTCATAGTCTGATTTTAAACCTACTACTATTTGTAAGTAAATTGATAATGGTTGGTTGTCTTTATTCCAATGGCACAGATTAAGTAACTTAAATTCCATGCACTAAGCAATAACAGTAGTTGACATTTTCCTAAGCACTTACTTTGATGCTTGGACTTGCTCTAAGTCCTTTAATTATGTATTTCTCATAATGACTACATGATATCAGTGGCATTATAATTTCCATTTTACAGAAGACAAACTGAAAGGGACAATGTTAAGATTTTTTTTTAATTTTTGCCAAAGAAAAGCAGCCAGCAGTTATTCATACTCCTGGAACACTTAAGAACAAGCCTCCCTATTAATTTATCTTTAGCAATCATTTTCACACTTCATAAGAATGCATAATTATGTATAACTCCTTATGTAACTGAATACATGTTGTACTGCTTTATGATTTTTAATCAACTGGGATTAGACATTGGGCTCTACTACATGCAAAATGGTATTATTTATTGAACAGTATAATCAAGACATCATTACAGAAGAGACCAAGGGCATCATTACAGAAGAGAGTAAGGAATAAACACATAATACAGAAAATTAATTTTCTAGATGACAAAGTAACACCCTTTTCTGAACAAAGCACATCTTTTTAAAATGAATATAAAGAACTTGTGAAAATAGCATGTTATTCATCATGTTGAAGAAGCAACACATGAGTATTTCTGTCGTTAAAGTTGTCATAATTGATACCATTTTGTATGTTTTTTCCAAAGTATTAATGTTTTCAATGAAAATGAATATTTCAGATGTACTAGAAACTTTAACAATTAGTGGTAAATTATGAGAGGTTCATCTATGTGAGGAGGTTTATAAAGGATATGTGTAAGGAATAAAAATGATAATATAACTTCAGAAGTTTTATGCCATTTAATCTCATTCATCTAATTATCCAATTGGCCAGTCCACCTATTAATTTAATTTTATGTGTCTATAAGCCAATAAAAAAGCTCATGTCATAGGGAAATAAATTTATTGTTACCTAGCTGATTAAAAACTTTTAAACATCTTGCACATAACTAGAGAAAAAAAATAGGTCACATATACCTTGTTAGTATTTATGATTCTCTGCAATGTCAAGAGTTACTGTTCTCATATTTAATTCTGATAAGTAAGCCATAGTTTTCCATCTGGGATTTCTATCTCCAGCTATATTGTGTCAAAGATAGTTTGACATCAAGTTATGACTCTCTTTTAAAGTCTCTTTCTCTTTTTCACATGGCATATGGATAAATAACAACCTTGTGCACAAGAAAGAAAAATGGTACCAGAAGCAATTACTGTATTACACACCAAGTTCAATGAATAATATGATAAAACTCTCCTGGGCAACTTTAGCAATTTCTCATATGCCCTCATATCTGTACAGCAGCATTTGCTGGAAGTAAAAGCACCTCATTCCTTTAGCATGAGTAATAAGTATTTTTCAGCATTTTCACAGTCAAGTCCAATTTTAAGGAACACACCAATACCTCATGTATTTTTATCTGCATTAAACTGGGAGTTGGCACAAAATGAAACTAAAATCAGTTCCTGAAGAAGTGATATATTTTAAGGATGAAGGGCTGAAGAAGTGATATATTTTAAGGATGAAAGGAATGAAATGTTTTATTTAAATAAAATAAAACATCTAATAAATGTTTAAAAATCTATAAATTATATGTTCCTCAGCTCTTATATTGGGTTCGGTTCTTTTCCAAATGTTGGCTCACCAAAATACTTGTTATCCCATAATATTCAAAAACAAGGAGAAATAAAATCAAAATTAACTTTAATGTGATACATGTATAATACTTTGTAAGACAAAACTAGTTAACTTATTTAGTTCAAGACGCATTGAATTTCTAAACATTTTAAGTATTGCCCTATGTCCTGGAGGGGGGCAGAACAACACAGAAAATATAATCTTATAAAAATGCAAATCTCTAAAAAGAAGAAAAACTACATTCACTGATTTAAATCAATTCTTTGAAATTACTATTTATAATATCAGTATTATTTACATGCCTATATTACTTTATTGACCATCACAAATGGAGTGTTTTCATCAACTGTATTTTTTGTGAAACATGTTTTGGAGGAGTCTCATAAACCCCAGCATAGGAAATGTTCTGTCCCACAGATCATGTACTTGGAAAATTAAAAAGTAATATTCATGTAGCCTAGTATGGTTCTGAATTTATCTTATAACCAAAAGACTTTTAACTTTGGTTAGAGGCAATAAACTGAAAACCCACTCGTATACGACTGTCAAAGCATTCTGGATGAATCATTGATGGCACATAACTTTTCCTGTAAGGCCAATGAGAAAACATCTAAAAATATTGCATCTTCATTGAGCAAATGAAAAAACCCAAATGATAACATGTTAAAATACAGATTAATGGTTTATATTTTCTTCAAAGATGCTTATATCCTTAACATTTGTGAGTTTTATATATAACATATTTACTCTCTATCAATTCTCTCACACAGAAAATACCCTAATTGATAATATGAGAGAAAACTAAACTTCTAAAAGTGTTAAAACCTCAGAAGTTATAAGATATGTGATAGAAAGCAGCAGGTGATCATAGCTTCTTCCACTGAAGTAATATGCAAAATTTGAAGTTCTTTTAGAACTCTTCATACATAATGTGATAAAAAAGAAAACTATGAAATACCCAATAGTAAAATTTGTTTTCATTTAACATATTTGTGACTTATATAGGGGAGAATTACCTGGCTTATAAAAATATTGA